GTCAGCCTCTCTGCTCCTATGATGCTGCTTGGCCTGCTGTGTTCATCCAGCCCTGCACCTTGTTGTCTAGTAATCCAGGATCCCAGGCTAATATTCTGGGGCCATGGGTTCGAACCCCACCATGCAGATGGTAAAATTGGAATTCAATAAAAAGCCAGCCTTATGGCTGTCGATTGTCACAAAAACCCATTTGGTTCACTAATGTCCCTCAGGGAAGCAAAGTTTCCATTTTTACCTGGTCTGGGCCTACACATGACTCTTGGGCCACAGCAAAGTGGTTGGCTCTTAAGTGCCCTCTGGGCATTTGGGGATGGCAACAGATGGTGCCCCAGCTAGCAACACTTAAGAAGTTATCAGATGATGTTAAATTTGCAGGGCTATGAATCGGGGAGTGGGACTAATTGAATTACTCTTGCAGACAGCCAGCATAAACACAACATGGCACAAACACCTGCATGATGTAGCCATTCTACGAATACAAAGAACCTTTGACAATGCTCCAAAATGCCTTACAGTCAAGAAAGTGCTTTTGATGTGTAGTCACCATTACAACAGTGGAATGCAGCAGCCAATTTGCACATAGCAAGCTATTACAAACAGCAATGAGATAAATGGTATGATAGTCAGCTTGAGTGATATTCAGGCTGACAAATGAATGTTGCCCAGGACACCTGGGCAAACTTTTCTCCCCTTATTTGGAACCCTGTTGCAAGCTTTCACATGTGCCATACTACACTGGAATTTCAGCCTAGATATAGTACTCAAATCTCTGGAGTGGGACTAACACCCATATTTTCTGAACTGAGAAGAGAACACTGCCTATGAACCATGCGTAACACTAATTAAAAAAAAGACGATCCTCATGTATTATGCTGGACACTCGATTAATTTTATTCGAGACAGATATTACAAACATGAAAGATGGGCAACACAGTCATAACGTGCACTGAAGACAGAATGCCTCATTGTCACGGACAGTACTGTACAATAAAGTGACAAGTCCAACGCGCACATTTTATTTCTGTTCTGGTTTGATCAGTACAAATAACAAAAAGTGGAAGCACTTCACGACAGTCGCAAATCGGATCCATAGAATCTCGTTGCTAATGGGAAGTGGATGCACTCACTGATGATGGGTTTTGCTTGGTTTGAGAAATACCTCCAAAGGTGCGGTGATTCTTTTTCTTTACTACATTTCTTTGTCAAGCTCAAATCAAGTACAACTGTATAATGTTGAACCTATTATGTATTGACTCTAGTTGCAGTAAGCTTATTTTACTTTGCAAACAAATAATGAATGGTAATGTTTATTGTTAGCACACACACACACACATACATACTTCTCTCTCTTAATAGCTAGTGCAATTTATCTCACCATACATCCCAGAGAAAAAGAGAAACAGTCTGATACACA